TTGGTGTGGGCAAATGGGAAACTCATCAATCAATTTAGAATTTAAATGAAATGGACAAGGTTGGAACCAATGGAAGATGAATACAAAAGCATGGTATGCCCCTTTAAGAATGCTGGCAGGAGTAATAAATTTCAAAATTAGGTGCAGTTTGTGAAGAATTAGAAGAGATTTTAAAAGTTATGTTAGGGAGAAGAGAAGCATGAAAGAAAAGATTGGATTGGTGTTCAGATGGAGGGGATGATAATAATGGAGAAAACATCAGGTCATGCATGTAGAGCTAGAAGACAGAGGTCATTCTTTGTTTGGTTTTGTTTTTCTTTTGGCTAGGCAATGGGGTTAAGTGACTTGCCCAGGGTCACGCAACTAGTATGTGTTATGTGTCTGAGGCCGGATTTGAGCTCAGGTCCTCCTGAATCCAGGGCTGGTGCTCTATCCACTGAGCCATCTAGCTGCCCCGAAAGAGGTCATTCTTATTTAACAGATAGGAAGCTAAGGCCCAGAGTGGCTAAGGGACTTGCTCAAAGTCATATAGCAAGATAGTCAGCATAAGAGGGAGTCAAACCCAGGACGTCTGACTCCAGATCAAGTGTTCTTTATACTTGCCTCCCATTCAGGAATAGAACATAGTCAGGCAGGGGATAGCACACATTGCTTGGGTGCTCCCAGAAGCAGAAGATCATTTAGGGTTCCTGGCAAGGACATTTGGGAATTACAGACTGAAGGTAGAGCCCTTTTCAAATTTTTGCTTGGGGTTGAAGGTTGTTAGCTCAGATTCTTGGACCTTGGCCTTGGCCATAGGGGATCATTCCTCTTAAAATCTGCCCTGATTGTGGGCCAGACAATGACAAGAAAGCTTAGAATTTCCTTACCTTTAAGGTAGGTCCCTCAATCACTTTGTCTTCATGTATCCTAAGCAATGACAGAACTTATCTCTCCTTTCTGCAGATCCAAGAATTCAATTCAATTCAATAAACAAGTATTATTAAGCACACTATATGCCAGGCCTAGTGCCAGGGAGTGCCTACAAAAACAGAAATGAAATGATCACTGCTCTCAACTACCTTACATTTTACTGGGGGAGGGATCAGTATGCAAAAAGACAAGTATATACAAAATATATGCTAAGTTAAAAAAAATCAGTTGAGGCGAGGGAGAGTACTCATAATTATGACGGATCAGGGAAGCCTTGCATTGGAGATTGCACTGGAGCCTCGAATGCCCTATCTAGGGAACATGAAGTAGTTCAGTTTGGTCAGGACACAGAGTAATGGGAAATGAGTCTAGAAAGATGGATTGGAGCAAGACTTTTAAATAAATACTAACCAGAAGAGTTTGTATTTTTATCCTAGAGACAATAGGAAGCTTCTTAATCAGTACATGGCAAGGTCAGCCCTGTGTTTTAGGAATATCCATTTAGAAGCTATGTGGAAGATGGATTGGAGAGTGGAAGAATGAGGCAGGGAGACAATGGTAGCTAGGTGATGAAGTGGATAGGACACTTGGTCTGAAGTCAGGAAGATCTGAGTTCAAATTTGGCCTCAGATACTTACTGGCTGTGTGACCCTGAGCAAATCACTTACATTTTGTTTGCCTTAGTTTCCTCATCTTCCCACATTAGTCTAGGAGAAAAGTGATAAGCTCCTGAACTACAGGAGTAAACCATGTGAGTAGAGAATGGGACAGATTCAAGAGTTATGGACTTGGCACATTTATTAGGTATAGGGGAAGGTGAAGGAGAATGAAGGGTCAAGAATGATGCCCAAGTTGTAAACTTGGGTGATTGGATGAATGGTGTGCCCTTGTTAACAATAGGAGAGTTAAGAAGAAGGATATGTTTTCTTCCTGGACCTTCCTGGAGAGGATTTATAGGAGCACACAGACAAGAGTCATTCAGGACCACTGGAGGGAGTGTCTGTTTCAAGAAGGTTACATACAAAATATGGAAAAAATGCGGTAATCAGGCTTATTCAGATAGGCTGTGGCTTATTAAATTTCTGTATCCCAGTGCCTCGCACATAGTAGGCTCTTTATAAATGTATGGAGTTGAATTAGAGATCCTTTAGTCCAATCCCTTTATTTAATATATGAGGAAATTGAGACCCAGAGTGCTCAAAATCTTTGACCAAGATTTTCTCAGTTAATAAGTGGCAGAACAATTCCCAACATTGGAACTAAGTTCTCTTGAGTACTATCTTCACTGCACTGTGATGCTGATCTAGCTATTGACCACCATGTAATCAAGAAGATCTGAGTTCAGATCCTGCCTCAGATACTTATTAGCTGTGTGATTCTTTTAATCAATCAGCCAGTCATGGGCCCAGACTTCTCTATGAAACAGATTCCCAAGTCACTTGACCTTCTTGGGTTTCGGTGTACTCCTTTTTAAAGTGAGGTGTTTGGACACAGGGACCTCTAAGGTTCCTCCCAGCTCTAAATCTTGATCCTGTCAGTGAAGTGGTAATTGATGCTCACGTGCAGAAGCAGAGTGGCATATGGCACTGTGACTACTGGCACTGATAACAATAGAGTCCACCCCCCAGGCTTATTGTGAGGATCGAATGAGATCATGTCTGTAAAGCGCTTTGCAAACCTTAAAACACTGTATAAATACTAGCTATTATCATTATTTATCTATGTATTTATTTATTATTATCTCAAGACCTCAGGAATAGTGAATAAGAAATGGAATAAAAGATATTATTACAGAAATATATGACCAAAAAAGGAGGGTCAGTCACATAACAAGGGAGAGGAAGGGGAGTAAGCATTTATGACGCACCTGCTGTGTTCCAGGAATTGTGCTCAGTACTTTACAAATATAATCTCATTTGATCTTCACAGCAAGCCTGTAAGGCTGAGGAAATTGAGTCAAAGGTTAAGTGGATTTGGAGCTGGTAGGGACCTTAGAGATGATGTAGCCCAACTCCCTCATTTTATCACTGAGGAAAACACCACCTGGAAGTTATTTGCCTGAGGTCGCACAGATAGCAAGCACCAGAGTCAGAATTCAAATTCAGGTATTCCAACTCCAAATTTGGGCTCATTTCCCACACCAGCTGCTCATTCTTCAATCAAGCAGTTAGAGGCAGCTAGGTGTCCCAGAGGTTAGAGCGCTGGAATTAGAGTCTGGAGGACATGAGTTCAATTCCAGCTTCAGATACTTAGGAGCTGTGTGACCCTGGGCAAGTCACTTAACCTCATTTGCCTCAGTTTCCTCAACTGTAAAGTGGATAGACTACTAATAATCTAACATCCAGGGTTTTTTGTGAGGATCAAATGATATGTATTTGTAAAGCACTCAGCACGGTACTGGACACATTGTAAGCATTTAAAATAATATATCTTTCCAGGAGGACCTGAGTTCAAATCTGGCCTCAGACAAAGCACTTGACACTTACTAGCTGTGTGACTCCAGGCAAGTCACTTAACTCCAGTTGCCTAAAAATTAAAAAAAAAACTATATCTTTCTTTTCTGCAATGGGAAGCATATTGGAGCTGGTGTCAGATGACCATTCTGGCCTCTTACTTATTGTGCAAATCTGGACAAGACATATGAGCCTCAGTTTCTACTTCTGCAAAATAAGGATTTTTTAATATTAATTAATATTAAATAATTATAAAATTTATATTAAGTAATAAATATTTTATATTAATATATTTGCATTACCTGCTTTGCAAGCTTGTTGTAAGTCAAGTATTCCATAAAGCTTAGAGTGCTAGGTAAAATGAGATTATTATTTTAGGCATAATACTGAAGCCCTGCAAGGTCTTTGCTTCCTGAATCCTCAGAGACCATCTATAGTCAGCTTAGTTTTGTTCTTTTATGCTCTTATTATATTTTAATTCTTTGAAAGCTGATGAACTGTGTGTTCTATAAATGGCAATTTTATCATTAACCAAAGATCTGGCTATTCTTGGATTAACTAGAACACTCTGAGGAAGCCAGATAGCAGAGAGCCTACCCTAATCCCCAATTGGTATTTTCCTTGTGGATAAGTCTGTGCTAGGTGGTCACATTAAGAAGGAGAGTGCGGCGTTGGCTGAAAAGGAATCTAAGGGCCTCCTAGAATGCCTGGCACCCATGAGTATTGGCAGTGACTGAGAGATCTTAAGATGTCTAGATGGTCTCGAAATGATAAGTCCTCCACGCGTTCACAGTAGATTAGAAACTTGACACCATGACAGTTATAAACAGCCCGTGTGAACCAGATGAAATGAGAGCTGTCTTCTCCCAGTGTCTTTTCCCAACCTTCATGAGAAAAAATCTTTGACTTAATCTCCATGTTGTCCCCTGTAGATTTGAGCCAAATTATGAGACTGAAAATGACTGAACAATAATAGTAAAATAAGATAGAACAACTCTTTTTATATTGTTCTGCCACCTTACCAATGTATAGAGCAAAGGTCAACTCCTAGTTCTGGGGGACCAAGGAAGCCCAGTGAAAAAGATCCACAGGTCATCCCCAAATCTCACTACTAATCATTATATCGAATAAATGTTTTGCTCAACCTTTTGCCAGAGCCCATGGGCTGACTACTGAATGTCAACTCCATTCCTTCCTTTTCCCCTACATAGCCTCCAGCGAAAGTCCTCCCCTGAGATGAAGAGACCAAGGACGGCCAGATAAGAGATTTGGGGAAGACAGCTCCTGGATAACCAAAGATAGCTCTCTCATGAGTACTGTACACCCTCCACATGTTGGGCCATGTTCCTGAATGCTACCTCTTGGTCAGATGGCTCATTCTGTGACCCGACTGGTACTGTAGAGACAGATTGGGACTGAAACAGATGTGAGATCAAGGCACCACTAGATATTAATGTATTCTACTCACATGCTCCCACCTCAGCCTCCCCTGAGTAAATACACACACACACACACACACACACACACACACACACACACACATATACACACCCCTAAACTCACACACATACAGACACACATACATGTGTCCATATGCTCATTCAGGCAACTTTTGCAGGCATGTTCTCTGCTTACCTCTAGGACAATTTCTTTCATTTGGAACTGCTTTTGGGAAACTTTATCCGAAGACACTGGCTCATGGTAGAAGAGGCAGAGCAGGTCATATTTCTTCAGAATCTGCTTGTAGTTCTTTTCATTGAGGCTTACTACCCGGTCCTTCCCATCATAGCTGGGGAAGTTCAGTCCTTCTTCTGCCCTGCAAGAAGGCAGCAGGTAAAAACCCACTAGTAAAAGAGAAGCTACCTTCATTGAGGATGGCCCTCTCTGCCTGTCCTTCCCTAGAAACAATCCAGTGCAATAAAGAACACAAAAGCTGCTTGGGTCGTGTTGGAGCCAAGGGCCAGGACCGGTTTACATCGAATTTGCCTTTCTTTTGCCCTTCTGCTGTTTGATCCTAACTCTTCCAGCCCTGTTAACTTTGCAGTTACGGGACTCAGGACAAAGAGCCCCAGCCTCTCGCACACACATGTGTGTGTACAAAGAGAGACAGGCAGGGGAGGCTGTCAAGCCAAACCCCAGATACCTTACATAGCTTGGCCCAACTCCTGTGTCGTGAGGAACTCCATTTTTAGGATGCAGTTGTTTCAGGCTAAAAATAAACCCTGCAATGAATAAAAAGGACAGATATGACACTATTGAGGGATTCGCTGATGGAGGTGGGCGGTGGAGGCAGGGAAGAGAGGGCACAAATGAGTGAGATGGCTATAAAGGACACAGAAAAAAAGTGAGGAGAAAAGAGATAAGGCGCAAGGGTTCCAATTAGCTAATGGAAGTTGTGAAAAAGGATCATAATATACACCACAGGCATGGAATCTTTGGGTTGGACAGGGTCTTGAAAGGTAATTCAGTCATTTCTTAGAATTATAGAATTTAGAGTTGGAAGGGACCTTAGATCTCATCTAATTCTACCCTTTCATTTCACAAATGAAGAAACCGAGGCCCCCAGAGGTTCAGTGATTTGCCTGAGACCACACCAGTATTAGGTACGGGGTAGGGAAAGGAATCCACTTTCACAAACTCCACAGTCAGCAGTCTTGCACAATAGTCTCCTAATTTTCACCTTCAAGCAGCTCATGCACAGGCCATCATTCCAGCTACCATTGGTGTATTTTGTGCAATGATGGGATAAAAGTGGAAAGAATTCTTTTTTAATGTTTTACAAAGGTTTTATGATTTTTTTAAAAACATTGACATCAGATCCCATTGCCTCAGTGGAATGTTCCTTTTTTTTTTTTTAAACAAAGGAGTACGGTTGGGAAAATCCAGCTGCCAAATGGAATATGTTAGACGACATATGCCTTATTATGTAATCATGGTGCCCCCACTCCACTACTGAAAGAAGGAATGCATGTTTGAACATCAGTCATCAGGAGTCACAATGAGTCATTATGTTGATCTGAATATTTATGTCCCTTTAGAATTGTTTTCCTTCACATTATTATAGTCATTGTATATACTTTCTCTTGGAGTTTTACGGGTTTTGCTTTGTAGCAATTCGAACAAGTTGTTCTTCATCCCTCAGTCTTTATTTCATATGAGATAATAATATTCCATTATATTCATATACCATGCCACAATTTGTTCAGCCATTCTCAAACCTATGGCTACCTACTTTATTTCCAGTTTTTTGTTTGTTTGCTTATTTATTTTGCTACTCCCCCAAAAGTATTACTGTCTTGCTATATATATATAGGACTCTTCCCTCCATCTTTGACCTACTTAGGGTATATGACCAATAACACAGTTCTGAATTATATTCCAGGTTGGACCAGTTCATAATTATTGTTAGTATTCTGGGAAATGTAAGCTTGCAAAGTATTCTGAGTTCTTCATCTGTAGATTTATGGCTTCCCACTGTATCCCTTATATATTATATTATATATTATAATATACATTATATATTATAGTATCACATATTATATTATATTTCCCTTATCTTTAAATACTTTGGCCACATAATGAGAAGACTGGACTCATTGGAAAAGACCCTGATGTTTGGAAAGATTGAAGGCAAAAAGAAAAGGGGACAGCAGAGGATGAGCTGGATAGGTAATGTCATGGAAACAATGAACATGAACTTGGGCAGACTTCAAGAGATAGTGGAGGAGAGAAGAACCTGGAGTGCTATGGTCAATGGTGTCATGAAGAGTCCGACATGACTGAGCAACTGAACAACAACCATATCCCCACTGCCATCCAGCCTGGGCTTTGCAAGGCCCCCAAATGTAGACACTATTCCACTTCATGAGGAGGGGGGAGGATATTCCTCTTCTAAGATGTGTAGTGATGAAAATAGGGGACATTATTATTGGCTCATATGCCTGGGGGCTCTGTCTGCAATCTTCTTCTGCTATCCTGGGGACATTTAAACTATCCAGTGCTACATGTGATACCACACTGACTTAATAAATAAAACAACAGCAGCAACACCACAAAATGAGATTCCACAGAATCTGTCAGAAACCCAGGGTAGTGTCTAACTCCGCTTATTGACAGAAAATCCACATTTCTATCCCACTTCTGCCCCTGACCTTGAGCAAAGCACGTAAGGTCGGTCTCTCTGCCTTAATTTCCTTATGTGTAAAATGGGGGAGAATGACTAGACTACCTCTAAAGTCTATGATCTTATGACCCTAATTCTGTCATTTTAGCCCATTTCCTGTTTTCCTCTTGTTCTCAGAGGTAATGAACTCTTGTCATCTGGAGAGTAACATTTCGTATATATGTGTGTGTGTCTCTGTGTGTGTATATACACATATACATGAAAAGTTATTTTTTACTGATATATAAATATGCGCATGTATATATATGTATACACACACACACACGTACAAGCATACACACATATTTATACTGGTCCTGTGATTACATTGACTTAAGGAACTCAAGATGAGTAAATTCCCTCTGCCAATGCAGGTTTGGAGTTATATCACAACTAAGGGTTGGAGAGATTTCCTTGGAGCATTGAGAGTCACCCAAGATCACATAGCCAGTGCATGTCTGAGTTAGGACTTAAATCCAGGTCTTCTTGGTTCGTTCCCTCATTAAGTCTCTTTCTGGGTTCACAAAGCAGTCTAAGGTATGAAGAAGCTCTAAGAAAATACTTAAATTTCAGAAATTCTCTCTGATTGGTTCACCAGCCCCACTCCAGCCTGTTTTGGGGAAAATCTACTCCTCCTTTCAGTTAGCTCCTCATATTTCAGTCTCTAACTGTATGCCTAATAGGCTTGGATTAAAATCATGGTAAACCGCTGTATTTTCATAGCAACTGCAAATAGCATAGAAACACAGGAAGAATTAAGGTACATATGTTGGACTATGGCATGCAGCTTTAGGGGATGTTGAATTTCTTTCCTTCCTCCTCTTCTTCCTCATCCCTTTTCCCCCCATCTTGCTCAGAGGGAAAACCAGGAAGAAAGTGGTCCAGTGGGTTAGTGTTGAACAAGGAGATAAAGGAGACTGTGGACCAGATGCCAGTAGTCTCACCAACCCTGGTCTTCTGGTCTATCATTTTCTATTTTCCACTTCAGTCCACTTTGGATGCCAACTTCATCTCATCTTGAGATAAGCACTTTGCTTCTGTTCTGGTCTGATCTGGCCTGCATTCTCTCCTGTTTTCAAATGCAAGTGAGCTAGACTCTGACCCCTTTATCTGCCAGTTCAGCAGGAGGACTCAAATTTTTGGCTTCTCTCCATTTTGACCATATGACTTCTCCCCAGAAGGAAGGTTTTTCCAAGACCACCCAAAACTAGAAGGATCCAAGCCTTTCTTGTATGATGTGTGGTCTTCCCTATCTTGCTAACAGTGTCTCTAGGGAAACACACACACACACACACACACACACACACACACACACACACTGCTTCTTCATTGATTGATGTTAGTTGCTCACATACATGAAGAAACTATTGGTCACGTCCTTTTAAATAGATTCATTCTCTAAGTTTTCCAGTTGTTGCTGTTCAGTCATTTTTCAGGCACGTCCGACTCTCCGTGACCCCATTTGAGGTTTTCTTGGCAAAGATACTGGACTGCTTTGCCATTTCCTTCTCCAGCTCATTTTTACAGATGGGGAAACTAAGGCAAACAGGGTTAAGTGACTTGCCCAGTGTCACACAGCTAAGTGTCTGAGGCCAGATTTGAACTCACAGAAATGAATCTTCCTGCCTTGAGACCTGTACCACCTAGCTGCATAGATAGAGTTGGAACTAAGGCTGTTGCTTAGCATCAGGAAGATGCTTGCTTTCCTAAGAACGTTCAGAAGAGATTAAACAATGAGGCAGTTTGGGCGTCACCACTTTGAGGCCAGGTTTCCAAAACTGTCCTGAATTACCTCATCAGGTGACCTTGCTTTGGAACATGCTCCACTTAACAGACTTTCTAAGACATGAACACTATTCTAATACAGCAGGAGAACTGGAAATAGAGTGGGAATGAAGAATTCTTTCTTTCACCGGAGGCAAGAAAACAGGGCAGGGGTCAGGCAGAAAATAGCCTGACCATACATAGATGGAGTTATCCTGGCACATGGGGAGACCTATTTCTCCCTAAAAGTCTGGACCACACTCCTATGGGGATTCAGGAAGAGGGGCACCCTGGCTATGGAATGATGGGGGTGACTACCTAAGTCCCATGTAGCTGTGCAGTCCAGGACCGAGGGGTTCACAAAGAATTGTAGTCTCTAACCCCACCCTTCCCCCAATCCCATATACTAACAGTGCTCTAGGACAAAGCCCCAGCTGCCCTGCTCTAGCTAGGGCTGTAACTAAACCTGAGTCAGAATTTCACTTTTTTTTTTTAACCAGCAAAAGGGCTATATGAACCCCAGGCAAATTAGGAAAAGCACCAGGAGAATATATATTTTTTAATTTTTTTCTCACAATTTAAACTGCAACTGACTGATAACAGTGAACCACAAAATGTCCTGATTTTGGAGAAGTCCTGAGTAGAAACTCTCTTTCTAGATTTCAGTTCCATTTGGGGTCTCAAAGATTAGAATTTTATCAGCTTACCTAATCATGCATGACTTTTAATGTTCCTATAATGAAAAAAAAATAGCAGCACAGACATTATTGTTTAATATTTTCTGTTTCTTACATCATCATGATATTCCATGTGTCCCCTCCCAAGAGTCATCTCATATGATAAATAGCATTTTTTATTATTATTTTTTAGGCAATTGGGGTTAAGTGACTTGCCCAGGGTCACACAGCTAGTACATGTCAAGTGTTTGGTCTGAGGCCAGATTTGAACTCGGGTCCTCCTGACTTCAGGGCTGGTGCTCTATCCACTGTGCCACCTAGTTGCCCTTAAAATAGTATTTTTTTTTAGAGGGAAAAAACAGCACAAGGGATTGATACTTTAAGAAAGTCTGAAAATATGACAATGGATAATCCCCTGTGGACTTCCCACTTCTGTGAAGGGATAGGTTAGGAGTGTCTTCTCGTATCTCTTAATTTGCATCCTCTTGAGCTTAATAATTTTGTTACATTTACTTTTAGTGTTTTTG